CTAGTGGTGGCAAAGTTTCAAAGACATGCCTCTACATGGTGGGCTAGCGTTGCTTCAAAACGAAAGCTCCAAGGCAAGGCTAAGGTGAGAACTTGGGAAAAGTTAAGAAAACTCTTAATTAAGAGATTTTCTCCCAAAGATCATCTCCACCAGGTACTTGAACATACTCTCCCTTTTTCACCCAATACCCTTTCTAAAGTCATACCACCTTCTCCACAACAAAAGCCACTCCATATTGCCCTCTCTCCCACAACCTTAACCTCCTCTAAAACCCGATCTTCGCAGACTTCTCACACTACCCAAATCATTTCCGAAGCCACCACCATCTGCAACACCCAAACTCCCTTTAAAGTCCCCTCTTTACCTTGCATCCATGCTGTCCGAAACATCTCTCACCCAACTCCCTCACACCTACCCAAAGTTCTGACTAAAACAACCTCTTTACCTTCCTTAGCCACTGCCCATATTCACCCCAACACCTTCTCCACACCTCTGCCCCAAAACTCCTCAAAACCCATCAATGTTCCATCCCTAGCTACTGCCCAAAATGGTCCAAATACCCATTTAGCACCCCTGCCCCAAAGTCCTCACAAACCATCTCCTTTTCTTTCTTGAATACTGCCCAAATTAACCCCAAAACTCTACCTTCAAACTTTCCTAAACCCTTGTCCATAACCCCTACACAAACTGCCCAAAACACCCCCAGAACCACCTCCACTGATCAGTGTGGTCAGATGGGGATTGTTCATCTTCAGACTCCGAACTCCCACTGTCAGAAGCTACCTCTGACTTATCATTTCCACCGACTTCAAGCTCTGGAACTGTGTCCACAATTGTTCCAGTTTCTTGTTCGGAAACCGGTTCAGGAACTAGTTTAGCTCCCTGATTTTCTGCTCCTGTGTCAAACTCAACCTGCTGTTTTTGAACCTTAGAGTTTGATTCCTTTCTGTCTTTGTACAATTCAGCTTCATTGAACGTTGCATGTTTACTCCTGACTACCTTTTTGCTTTCAAAGTCCCAAAGCCGGTAGCCCATCTTGTCTGAACCATAGCCAATAAAGGTGTACTTCTTGGCCTTTGCATCTAGCTTATCACCATCTTGATTCAAATCATAAGCACTGCACCTGAAAACCTTTAGGTGCTTATAATCAACAGCTTTACCCTTCCATTCTTCTTGAGGTACTTTGAAACCCAACGGAACTGAAAGCGATCGGTTGATTAGGTAAGTAGCAGTGTTAACTGCGTCTGCCCAAAACATCTTTGGGAGCCCTGCATTTATTCTCATACTTCTGGCTCTCTCGTTTAGAGTTCTATTCATCCTTTCTGCGACTCCATTTTGTTGAGGAGTGCGTGGAACAGTCTTTATCATCCGAATGCCTCGTTCAGCACAATAGTCCATGAACTCTGTGCAATGTACTCCCCTCCGTTGTCCGATTTCAAACATTTCACCTTCAAACCAGTGTCAAGTTCAACGGCAGTTTTCCATTTCTTAAAAACATCAAATACTTCGTATTTATTTTTAAGAAAATAAACCCATACCTTGCGTGTGGCATCGTCTATGAAGGTCACATAGAATCTCGAACCTCCCAGGGATTCAACTCGCGTTGGACCAAAAACATCTGAATGAATAAGCTCTAACTTCTGAGCTTTAGGTACTCTCCCCGTCTTCACAAAAGATACCCTCTTTTTCTTTCCATAAACACAGTTCACAGAATTCAGATTCAACTTTCTTTAGGTCTGGAAGCTTTCCTTTGGCGACAAGCATTTTCATCCCCTTTTCACTCATATGGCCGAGTCGTTGATGCCACAATTTGGAGAGACTCAGCCCATTAGTTACTGCGTTTGCATCTCCTGCAGTTGTCTCAGCCATGTACAAAGTACCCTGTTTCTTTCCCTTAGCAATTACCATACTTCCCTTGACAACCTTCCACTGTCCAGCCCCGAAGTGAACATTATACCCCTGGTCGTCCAATAGCCCAATGGAAATCAACATCTTTCTCAATTTGGGAATTACCCTGACATCTTTCAATGTCCAAATTGTTCCCAAGTTGGTTTTTAAGTCAATATCTCCCACCCCAGTAATATCCAGCGTTTGATTATTAGCAAGACTTACAGTACCAAAGTTGCCTTGTCTGAGATTCTTCATCTTTCTCGAACTAGAGATAGCATGAAACGACGCACCTGAGTCCATAATCCAGGACTCGACTGTGTCCTCTACACAGCAGATTAGTACATCGTCAGAATCTGAGGTTGTGGCAGCATTCACCTCTTTCTTGTCGCTAGGTGGTTTGGTGCACTGATTTTTGAAGTGTCCGTACTCATCACAGTTCCAGCACTTGATGTCGCTTCTTGTCTTTGAACTCCCTCTCCTGCCTTTGGACTTAAATCTTCCCCTGTAACTGTTTCTCCTCTCTTTCTTTCTACCTCTTCCCTCAGTGCTTAGTGGTTCACCTGTATTCTTTCTCCTGATGTCTTCTCCTAAGATAAAATCACGGATTCCCTCAAACGTGAGTGTGGTGTTTCCAGCTGAACCACTTATAGCCGTGACTGATCCTGCCCAACTATCTGGTAAAGAAGATAAAAGAAGCAAAGCTTGTACCTCATCATCAAATTTGATATCTACTGATAGCAAACGGGATATAATGGTATTGAAAACATTGATATGAGTAGTAACAGAACCACCTTCCCGCATACGAGTGTTAACTAACTGTCTAATCAAGAATACCTTATTAGACGCGGAAGGTTTCTCATACATGTTTGACAACGTTGTCATAACCCCACGAGCAGTGGTCTCTTTCAC